CTGGTACAAAAACCATGATACCAGGTATAGATAAAATCTCCAGGAGATACTGGTGCTCTAGAGCATAACCGAGAGAGATTAGGAAGATGGTACTCACCAGCTTTCTTCCCCAGAGAGTCCTCCTCTAGGCCCCTGCCCTTCAGACCAATGCTCTAACATTAGCAAGTAAGTCTCTTTCACATGAAACCTGGCACCTGCAAAGGATGGCTTCCATGCCAGGCCCTGGGGCAGGTGAGTCTGCACATGAGCCTTTTAAGAGTCATTTTTCAGTTTCCTATAGCCCCAGTCAATCTGATAGGTGTAAACCCTGTAGGTCTTCAAAGCCAGATGTTCTGGAGTCTCATCTCTCAGGTGCCAGTCTTAAATGTTAGGATGCCCAGTGTGGGATCAAACAATTTGCTTCTCAGGGAGAGACTCCAACTGCTGAACCCCCTTCTGATTGGGTCTGTTGTGGGGATTTGTGGTGAGATTATCTCAGTCTTTCCTACCCACTTTGATCTGCTTTGCCTCTTGTTTACCAGACATGAAGAGCTCACTCTGCCAAGTTTTAGGGTTTTTTTCTGGAGGAAATTGTTCCATAGATAGGTATTGATTCAGTGTGCTGTGTGAGGTAAGTTGAAGGATCTTCTTCTGTCACTATCTTGAATTGGAACTGGTTTTTTTGTTTTTTTGTTTTTTGTTTTTTGTTTTTCTATTAGAGTTATATTTATTTCAACAAAATTATCAAGTAAAACTACAAAGAAAAATATTTGACACAGAGACACAATTTTGTAGAGAGGAAGTTTAGCACTAATTGATATGATAAATTACATCTTTTGATATTTGGGGGGAAACTATTACCAGAAGAATCACTAAAATACAGCATCATGTGCCACAGCACATGAAAACATTCCCATAAAAATTAAAGATTTTCATTTGAACACTTATTTTTTCATCCCTCTTTGAATTTATATTCTGAAACTTGATGTTTTATTGCAGTTTCCACTTGCATAGAGTATCTTTCCCATCACTGCAGGTCTCATATGTAGCTTTAACACTGAAGTATATCTCCTATTGGCACCCGGTAGTTGGGTCTTACTTTTTGTCCAGCCAGCCGGTGTGCCTTTTGATTGGTGAATTCATTCCACTTCCATTTAGAGTAATTACTAATATGTAAAGACTTACTAATGCCATCTTAATTGCTTTCTTGTTTTGTATTTCCATTATTTATTTTTCCCTCACTTTCTAGGCAGGAGCCTTTGTAAATTGGTTATTCTTCCTGGTGGTATGCTCTGTTTCCCCCTTCTTTGTCAATCTGCTGTAGGTTTTTGTCTTGTAGTTACTGTGGGGCTTACATAAAATTTCTTAAAGATAAGTTATTCTCAGCCTGAAATTGTTTTATGTCTCATTACATAGGTCTTTTTTTTTTTAAATATGTAGTATATTATTTGCCCCAGGGGTACAGGTTTGTGAATCTTCAGGCTTAAACACTTCACAGCACTCACCATATCACATACCTTCCCCAATGTCCATAATCCAACTGCCCTCTCTACACCCCCCTTCTCCCAGCAACCCTCAGTTTGTTTCGTGAGATTAAGAGTCTCTTATGATTTGTCTCCCTCCCGATCCCATCTTGTTTTATTTTTTCCTTCCCTACCCCTCAAAACTCCCTGCCTCTCAAATTCCTCATATCATGGAGATCATATGATAATTGTCTTTCTCTGATTGACTTATTTCACTCAGCATAATACCCTCTAGTTCCATCTACATCATTGCAAATGGCATGATTTCATTTCTTTTGATGGCTGCATAGTATTCCATTGTATATAAATACCATATCTTGATGTTAGTTACAATTTAGATCTTTTTTTTTAGTTTCATTAACAACTTACTGTAACTGTAGTTATTTTTCTCACTGTTCCTTTAACTTTTATACTGTTGATGAAGAGCTGACATACCATCCTAATTTAGAATTAGTTTTCTAAGTCCAAAAGGAATATTTTTACCTTTACCTAGTGTGTTGTGTATTTTCGTGTTTTCATGTCGCTGGTCAGCCTGTCGTCGTTTTAGATAAGAACCTCTTATTTTATTGCTTGCAGGCAGGGCTAGTGGTGAATTTTTTCAGATTCAGTTGCTCTGGGAAAGCCTTTATTTCTTCTTTGTATCTGAAGGAAAACTTTGCCAGATTAAGTATTGTTGGCTGACAATTTTATATCTTTCAACACTTCAAATATGTCATTATACTCTCTACAGGCCTGTAGAGGTTCTGCAGATAAATCTGATAGTGTAATGGGAATTTCTGTGTAGGTTACATTTTTTTTTCTTTTTTAACTTGGATGCCTTTAAAATTCTTTATTATGGATTTATGACAATTTATGTCTTATAAAGGTCATTTTGTTTTAAGATAAAAGGGTAATCTATGGGATGCCTGGGTGGCCCAGTTGGTTAAGCATCTGCCTTCAGCTCAGGTCATGATCCCAGGGTCCTAGGATAGTCCCATGTTGGGCTTCTTGCTCAACTGGGAGCCTGCTTCTCCCTCTCCTGCTCTCTTTGCTTGTGCTTTAATAAATAATTTTTTAAAGACTTTATTTGTTACTTATTTGATGCAGAGAGAGAGACCACAAGTAGGTCAGAGAGGCAGGCAGAGGGACAGGGGGAAGCAGGCTCCCCGCTGAGCAGAGAGCCTGATACGGGGCTCCATCCCAGGACCCTGAGATCATGACCTGAGCCGAAGGCAGAGGCCCACCCCACTGAGCCACCCAGGTGCCCCAAGGATATATTTCTGTAATGACTTACCATTAAGAGAGACAATGGTTGCTGACCCTACTCTCCAGGATCATCAGATGTTCATTTTAGAAAGTATACTCAGGATGGAGAAGAGCTGGAAAGGTCAAAAGTGTAGAAGCATGAAATGGGGGAACATTTATGACTCTTATGAAGTTACTTTAATATTGGTCTAAGAGAAACATTAACTAGATTATATCATAATTAAACCTACAAAACGATTTTATTATAATTAAGAAGTTTGAAATAGGAGAGAAAATGAAGATATTGTATATTTATCAATAATGGCTTTTTCTTATCTGTACTTTACAAAAGAAGGAAAGGATGTCATTTATATTTTGACATATGGTACCCTTTATATATATAAAATGGAAGCTTAGAAAATATAACATCCCCTCTAAAGGGAGAATTACCCAAGGTAACATTATATAAGAACAAGAAAATACCTATACCCTTGCCATTCTGCTTTCACTTGATGTTAAGAAGCAAATCCTAGAGTTACTGAAAACTGTGACTGTGCTAACAATACTTAAATATACAGAATTGAATTTGACCTTATTTTGTTACTGATAAAACTTCCTTTTAATAAAATGAGATTTCAATAATATACAAAGTGGGGAATATTTTCACTAAATGCTCTCTGACTTTAAAATTCTATGGCTAGTAAAATCCATTTTATTATTCATTATTCATAGTATTCTTGTTATTTATTCATTTTACTTTAATTGGGTAATTGACAACAAAAGCATTTCAAAGATTGATTTGTTTTAGAGAGAGAGAGCATGAGAGGGAGGGGCACAGGGAGAGCGAGAGAGAATCCCAAGCATCTCAGAATCTCAAGTATCTGTGACAGATACTTGAGCGGCAACCCAAGCCCGATGCCACCATGCTGAGATCACGACTGAGCTAAAACCAGGAGTGGGATGTTCAGTCAAGTCAGCTGTGCCACCCAGTGGCCCCAAAACAAAGGCATTTTATATTGCAGTAGCATAGAAGTTTCTAATTCCTTACATGTTTCAAAGAGACTAAGCCCTAAAATTAGAGTAACGTCAAGTTGTTTATTAGGTAGTCATAAAGATGTTTAAGAGCTACTGGTAAGTCAGTTAAAGTTAGTAATAAAAGTGAAAAATCTCCTATTTGATTTACACATCTAAGTGACAATCTACACTATTAGTATCATACAAAATGGTTTTACTAGCCATAATCAGTTTCTCTTGATTTATGTATAACTTTTTTTTTTAAACTAAAAATGAATCTTCTTTGCAGAGTATTTAGAAAATACTTTTGGTTACTGCTTTCTGCAATTATGGTAGAGATCTATAAACCATATCAATAACAAGCGTTCATAGTACTAGTGGATATTTTTCCAGTAATTTTGTGATAAATTCTTCGAGTAATAGTACACATTAAACGTATATTATTTTGTGAAATGGTGTTTTAATGGTAGAGGACTTTGCTATCTGACTCTCGGTTTCTGCTCAGGTCATGATCTCATGATCATGGTTGGTGGGATCCAGCCCCCAGGCAGCCTCCTAGTTTGGCAAGGAGTCTGCTTGAGATTTTCTTTCTCTGCCTCTCCCCACACTGGTACATGCTCATTCTCTCTTAAATAAATCTTTAAAAAAAAAAAAATTGCTATTGGTCACACCTGGGAAAAGAATCCAGATTTTTCTGGACCATGTTCTTTTCATAGAAACATGTCTGGATGTAGAATATATCCCTATTTTATAAAAAATAAACATACAGGACACAAAACAAACTGAGGGTTGATGGGGGGAGGGGGGGTGGGAGAGGGGGGGTGGGGTTATGGACATTGGGGAGGGTATGTGCTATGGTGAGTGCTGTGAAGTGTGTAAACCTGGCGATTCACAGACCTGTACCCCTGGGGATAAAAATATATGTTTATAAAAAATAAAATTAAAAAAAAAAAACGTACAGGAAGAAGTATTGCATGGTCTTCAAACTTTTGAGTTCTGAATTCTGATTGCTTATTTTGCCTCCAGCAGTCTGCCTCACTTAGTAAGTACGTTAGGGGGTTGTGAGAATATAAACTGATAGGCATATTTTTTTCACAGTAACAATGTTGACTAAGAGCTTTCTCTGCTAGAATTCCCTGTTAATAATGTTTATATTCAATAAGTATTCATCTTAAATTATTAAAAATATGAAGTACACTTTCATTTTTACTTTTACATCATAGATAATTTTTTCTAATCTCTTTTTTTGTTTTGTTTTAGGTCACTTTTCACATTGAACCATACAGCAATCGAGATGATCAAAACATGTACAAAAATGTCAAATATATTATAGACAAGTGAGTTTCTTCTGTGTTTATAATTACTGTTTTATGATCCAATGATAGCAAGTACATTTAAATTGTATTTGAGATTTGAATGACTTATGGTCTGATATGTTAAAATTAAATTTTGTAGTGAATACTCATTTTGAGGAACATTTCTGAAATTCCTTATAATTCACTTTCTGTATAGATTATTTACTGTTTATATGTTTATTAAGCTATTTATGATTTGCTGGCTGACATTTTAAATTGGTATTCTTTAAATCATGAATACAGATTATCTTTTTAAAAGAAGGTTCAAATTATGAAATGTGAACTGCTTTATATCTATGGACCCACATCCAATTTTTTTATTTAGTCTGATTATAAGGAAAAAATTAATACAGCTTCATTTTGTTCAAGGATTTTACTGGTAAGAACCTGTGACTGATACTATACTCGTAAAAGGAAACTTGTCAGCAGGAATATCAGTTGACATATTCATATAGAAAATGGGCTTTTTATGGTGTTGGTCATCATTTGTAAACCTCAATATAAGATAATTTCTTGTTAGGAAAAATGAGATACTTGATACATCAAGACATTACCTATCTGCAAAATTGAAAATGCATTTTTAATGATTATCCTTAATATGACTGATTCCCCAAAGAAAGTGAACAATATGCTTAAACTGTGCTGATTACCTTCATTTTCAATATAGAAACAGTTATTGTCTGTGGAAAATGAGTTACAGATATTCACTTCACTTTTACATATTTTTGTATTCTAGATATGGAAATCATCCAGCCTTTTATAGGTACAAGACTAAGACTGGCAATGCTCTTCCTATGTTTTATATCTATGATTCCTATATCACAAAGCCTGAAAAATGGGCCAATTTGTTAACCATCACAGGGTCTCGGAGCGTCCGCAATTCTCCTTATGATGGACTGTTTATTGCACTTCTAGTAGAAAGCAAACATAGATATGATATTCTTCAAGGAGGTTTTGATGGAATTTACACATATTTTGCCACAAATGGCTTTACTTATGGCTCATCGTATGAGAACTGGGCGAGGCTAAAATTTTTCTGTGACCAGTTCAACCTACTGTTTATCCCAAGTGTGGGCCCAGGATATATAGATACCAGCATCCGCCCATGGAACGCTCAAAACACTCGGAACCGAATCAGCGGGAAGTACTATGAAACTGCTCTGGGGGCTGCACTCCATGCTCACCCCAGTGTGATTTCTATCACCTCTTTCAATGAGTGGCATGAAGGAACTCAGATTGAAAAAGCCATTCCCAAAAGAACCAGTAATACCGTGTACCTGGATTACCGGCCTCATAAACCAAGTCTTTATCTAGAACTGACTCGCAAGTGGTCTGAAAAATACAGTAAGGAAAGAGCAACTTATGCATCAGATCAGAAGCTGCCTCTTTCTTAATGCATTAAGTACCTTTTGTTTTAAGTGTGTACTGATTGGCAGTTATCCCCATAATAAAAAGAATTTGCACTTTTAAAAAAAAATTGTGATATCATCATTGCCACCCTTCACAATGCTGCACTGAAAAAATATCTGAGAGAAAAACTGTGCAAATAACATTCCCTGTGGCATAATTTGCTACAAATTTTTATCTCACACAAAACTGTATTACATAAATAATTAGTGCACAATTAAATCCTTCTTGTATTCTGGGCCCAAAGAAATAGATTGCGTATATTGGGTATGTCTAGTGAAGAAAATAGGACCTAAAAGATCATGTACATGTTTCATTTAGACTTTTTTCCCAATGATTCAGTCATCCAGAGTGTTCACTAACACAATAAAGTCTGCAATAAAAATTCTTAAGGAAAATAAAATCACAACTTTAGCCTTACTGTGAATCACATTGTGTTAGGAAGGCCTCCTTTCTATAGCACAATATACATCATCCTTTGAGGATTTTTTGATTACTTATAACATGCTAGGTGTTTGGCATGCCTAGTATGCCTGCTTTACAATGCTAAATTCCAGATTTTAGAAGCTATGGTAAGTTCCTTCATGCTTCTGTATTAAGAAAACATAGTTGGTTCACAATTATGAAGATAGAATGCCCAAAATACCAGTTTTTGGATAACCTGTTGATCTTTAACTTGTTATTCTATTCATGTTTTTAATCAGAGACCAACTGTTAGTAAGAAAGAAAAAAGTTGATACTATCATTGGATTTCCTTCTTAATATTTAAGCTGTTTTTACCAAAGTAGGGAACATTTACTTAGCATTTTAGGAACATGGAAATGAAAATTCTCTTATATCTTAAACTCATTCCTGAAGTTTGACTTGTAAGTTTAATACTTAATGATGGCAATAATCTAATTTAAAAGACAATATATCCCCATGTAAAAACATATTTCATGGTATCTACCAGATTCAATACTTGTGATCAGTTGATTGTCCTGTTGTGACAAATTAATCCACATATATGCTGAAAATGGATCTCTTTAATAGATTATATGTTATCCTTCAGTTCTTATAGTTAACTAGAACTCTAAAATATATATATACTATTACAAGAATATTATTTCTTAATTTACTAAAGAGAAACAATACTGAACAATAATAGATATAAATCTCCAGGTTTTAGAGATATTCAGAAATAAAGTAACTGTAGAATTTATCATAACATAGCCCAAATGAAATTTATTTTAGCCAGTGATTTTCAAGTAAAATATCTTTTCTTTGAAAAAAGGCATGACTAATGTTAAACTTATTTATAAATTAAGAATTTGCCATTTCTCAGAGAATGATCCGGTCATGAGAAATTTGAGCAATAGTAGTAACTTACTTTCTAGAGGAAATTACAAGAATAAATCACTATAATGATATAACCAAGGCTTTCATAGGAACATTAACACAGATACGACCTGTGGATTTTTTTTCTTATATCCATGTAGCTACTATATGTTATCACAGGAATAAACTCTAAATGTATCATGCCTAATAATCACTTATACCATATTTTATTAAATTTAGAGATATTACTACAGAGGAATTTTTGTCATTGCTTATACTGTATATTTTAACCTACTGTGACAGAAAATTTTATGAAATAGTTCGAGATTAAGAGAAAGTGTATAAAAACAAAGTCAACAAATACTCAATGTGAATACTACCACTTTCTGTCTTGCTTCCACTGCAGACCTAGATAATCTACTACAGCACTCTTTACCTCTGAGCTTTGTTGTGGTTCCCAACACATTACTCCCAACCAGCCAGTAAGGATCAGATTTCAAAGTAAAACGGATTTTTTTCTCAAGGGAGGAATGTTTGGAATCTGACCTCATAAGAGTTTAAGAATTTATAACTATATGAAAACCCTGTGTCTTTTTGCCTGTTTTAAAAAACAGGAGGAATTATCTCTAATTTCATAAGTCTTCCTCAGGTATTCATTACAGCTGCCTTTATCATTTGACTTATAACACAGTTTAAATCATTATGATCACAAGTAAAAGCAAAGAACTGATTGCCTAATTTAAACTATCTAGGTGTGACCTCAGTAAACTATTAAACAGTGTAATATATGCAACGCATGAATCACAATTCTTTTATGGTTTAATCAGTCTATTTTGACTGTATTGAAAATAATTGTTTTATTATTCTCCTTAAGGACTAATATTGTCAAAAACTGCTGTTATTAATGTTTAAGTTGTATGTTAACTTTTTTTCTGTTTTAAAAGTAAAAGACTTTTGTTATATGGAGTAATTAACTTTCATTTAATAAAAGTGTACATGAAATAGTGTATCTTAGGTATAAAAATGTGTCCCTTTCTATTTATGAAATATTTAATTTCTGATTAGCAGATGAAAAGTAGTATTCATTCATAACTATATATTTTCTCTATTTGAGATATGCAGCACTTACAAAGTCTGTATCTTTAACTGTATATACATTTTTAAATCTGTAAATTTGTTAAACACACAAACACAAAAAGTTTTGGGGGTAGCGGGTAGAGGTGTCATTTTTTATTCTTTGGGCATGATCCTATGTTAGCTCTAACTCTTTTGGGAAATCTTACCCAAACAAACCACCAGAGAATCTATCAAGTTTATAACCATGCACTTTTTCATACTGACCAGTTAAAGATGACGGTTCCTGAATTCTATAGTGTCTACAGAAACAGCTCTTAAAAGTCTATATCTAAATTTTGAATCAAGGTAGAACACCCTCATGCCCCACAGTATAGAAGCAATACTTTATGACCAGCAAAATTCCAGTTATTTTTTATAAATATCTATAATTTCAAAATGAAAAATGGACCTAACCACAAGCAAAAAAGTTTATTCATTCAGGTAAAATTCTATACTGGCTTTGCTATATATCCACATAAAGTCTAAATGTTATTGTATGCTTCCTATAAGATTATCATTCTTGAGAATTCAAGTGCTACATTGCTTAATTATTTTAGAGATTCATTGTAGTCCAATCAAAGAACTTAGTAGTAGTTCTCTTATATTTCATCAATGACGAGGGGAACATTTTTCAATGTGGTTAGTTTTTGTTGTTGTTATTGTTACGTAATTTATGATATAAAAAGAAAAAAAGAAGTAGTAAATGGCCACAGATCTAAAATTTAGTGACGTTAAAACATAGTAGCACTATTTTGGATGTTCTAGACTTCATTTAAAAGCATCTTATATGTTTTAAGTTTCTCAATTTACATAAAATTAACCATAAATTCAATCAAAGTTAAAGAGCCTTTTAGAAAAGACCCCATGAAATGAATATTTTATGACATAAGGAAATGGTGTACTATGGTATATGATTTGTATCATCATGCCTTGTTTTTGATTTTTTGAAAGAATTGGTTAATCTGAGCAAAGATTGTTGTAAACATGAAATAAAGTGACACTTTAGCTAATTACATTTAAAATACATTAATTATATTTATGTTCATGCATAAAAGTATGAGTCAGTTTTACAAAAGCCATTATGAAAACACTATTAATTTGGTAATGTCTAATGTAATATGATCTTTACCCTGATTTTGAAACAAATACAAAAGAGAAAAATAGAAGAAATTCACTTGTAATAAATGCAATAAAGTTTAGAAATGTATATATTTAAACACAGTCACCTAAGGGTAGTATGTCAGAATGTTTTTTGGATGTAGTAAGTTTGTATTTACTGAATGCTGCCATTCTACGTATTGTTTTTTAATTACTTAGATTCTTTAGTCATGTGGCAGTCTATTAAGCCATTCATATTAAAATAGCACAGTCTAATCTCTGGCTTCATGTAAAAAGCTAACTGCAAGGCTGCTAAATTCTTCCTTGAAAATTTGGTGTTATATTTAATTCAAGTACATTACTGGAAATCATGCTCTTGACTTTTTAGCTGTCTCGTAAAAAAAAAAAATGTTGACAATCATTTTATGAATAGCAGCTGAGCTTAAATTCTATTTTTCCTCATGAGTATTATGTATTCTTAGCTAAAGACTTAATATAATCCCCAAATAAAATATTCTTTTAATGTATAATATTTCATTGTTTTCTTTTTAGTTTAGTCATTCTTATGTAGAGTGTAGGTAATGCTTTCTCTTTTTAAAATGTGTACTCATTTGAAAACAGGATTTAAAGTATTTTTTCCATAAAAAGAATTTAAAAGTATATGAACAATGAAAGATGGGAATCTAGAAAGAATATACATCTATATACATGCTAGCATATATAGCTGACTGCATATTTGGTATTGAGCTTCTGAGTAGTTAATACAAGATGTTATATGGTTTTGTTTTGTTTTGTTGGCCAGGAAAGGAGCATCTCCTTTACAAGGTAAACCGTATGTTGTCGTCACAATTTAAAATAAAAGGTAAAACATAGGGAATATAGTCAGTGGTACTGTGTATAATGTTGTATGCTGACAGATGGTAGCTACACTTACGGTGAGCACAACATAACATATAGAGTTGTTGAGTCACTATGTTGTACACCTCAAAATAATGTAACAAGTATCAACTATATAAAAAAAAAACTTTAAAAATTTTTTCCAATTGCCATTAAACCTATGGTTTAAAAAAATAAAAATGTAAAAACCTATAGGAACCTGTCAGATAATGTACTATAAATAAATGCAGCAGGTTTAAGACCATAGAGAGTCCTAGGTACTGTGGACCACTTTCAACTAAAGGGAGTAGTTGCTAATCAGCTCTCAATTCATTTTGTAGGTATGGGTCACTAAAATGAGGAAGTATGTATGCCCATATGTGTATAAATTTTTTCTAATTACAGCATGTTGGCAAATGCCAGAAAAGATTTTTAAAATATTTGCTTGGTGGGGTCACTAATTTGTGACCTCTGATAGAATATAAAATTATTGAGAACATTTTTCATAACATTACACTCAAGGGGATTTCATATGACTAGTTATTGTGATGATTATTGGATAAGTTCTAAGTATATAACAAAACTCAATGAAAGTGAATCCATGTATGATAATTTTTCCCTGATCTTATAGGAAATCAGAAATAAAACACCCCA